CTTCTCATTTGTTTGACCATCCCCCAAAGCACTGGAGAGGATGCCACAGTGGGTAAAACCTCTGGTTGTGGGGGCAGAAACCTGCCTATCAGCTGTGTGTCCTTGGGGAACTTGCCTGGCCTCTCTGAACTCGTACCTTCATCTATAGAGTGAAGGAAATGATAACCTTCCTCCCAAGCCAGTTATCAATATTAAGTGTGGTCCTTGCAAGTAAAGCCAAGTAAAGTAGGTGCTCAATAAACAAGCTATCATCATTTTGTTACGGCTGTTTAAAAAATCAACTTGTGGTCTGCCCAGAACGAAAACCGGATCTCTCCCTTGTGTGTCGTTTCCGCAACATTATGTGGATCGAGTCACTGGACTGTAGGGTTTGGACCTGGCATAGACTGATCTGGATCCAAGTTCTGGCTCCTGGCCCTTGTGTAACCTTGAGTGGATGATTTTTACTCCTCAGAGCTTGGGTTTCCTCCTCCATGAAACGGGAGAAAATCACCACACTTCCTCGTGGGGTTTTACACAAGGTTCCTGAAGGGACGCATGCAAGCCCTCGGCACAGAGTCTGCTGTTCGGCGAGGCACCCACGGCTGTTTGGGATCCTTGTTTGGGATCTGTTTGGGATCCCTTGTTTGGGATCCTTCTGTTTTCATCAGACTGGGACTCCACCGTGTACAAAGCTAGTGGTTTCTGTGACCCTGGCACCCTGGCCACAACACTGGGACATTAGAATTTTCAGCCACATGGCACAAGTGAAAACTGAGGCTTCGTCAGTGTCTGCTCTCGAGCTCAGCAGGGAGGCAGTGTAGTAGGGGAGAGCACATCCTGTTTGCTCTGCTGGGGTTCAGAGGACAGATCCCAGAAGGCAGAGGACAGATCCCTGTCCCCTGGCCCAGGCTGTGGGTGTGGTGTCCCGCCCACCAGCTTCTGGACGTGTTGTCTCTTCCAGACCCACAAAGCCAGTCCTGTCCTGGGACTTCCCTCTGGAGCCCCGCTGGCACGCCATGCAGGAGAGAGGAGTCCAGACCTTCAGCTGGGGGCTCACCCCTCAGAAGTGCAACCTCATGTGGGTCACTGCGCTTCTCTGTGCCTCCGTTTCTCCATCGGAGTGGGAATCCCATCAAAGGGTGCATCTGTATTCCACCACTTACCTGGAGTGGCCTTGAGAAAGTTACTTCCCTTTTCTTAATTTCTGTGCCTTTGCCTATAAAAAGAGGCTAATGGTAAAATGTTACAGTGGGATGTCAATGAAAACAGGAGGGCATAAAGCTGTCATTGCTATGACTTTCGCTGCACAATTAAAAGTCTACGTGTGTCTGCATCCACTGTTTCAAAAAAGACAAAGAAAATGTACTAAAACGTCCCTAGTCCCTCTGGACGCTGGGCTCATGGGTGACTTTTACTTCCTTCTATATATTACTTTTGTCGTTGTTTTTTTTCTAGTTTTTCTACAATGAGTGTGTGTCTCTTCCAGTAAGAAATGAGCAATTAAAGGCCTAAAAAATAGCTGTCCCTACTATTCAGGGTTGTTAGCGGACCACAGTGAGGAGACGGCTGGTGAGCCCCCAGCTGTGGGCAAATGCTCTCGGTGCTGACCGTGCTCACCCTCTGCTCCTAGGGGCGGTCGGGGTTGGCATCAGGGTCGGGGTGTGCCCACAGGGCTGGCCCCTGTGGCTGGCAGCGGAGGGACGCATTGCCTCTTGAGGCCTCCCATGAGGATGTGACCTCATCGCGGCAGAAGACACAGACTTCAGCCAAAGGGAAGCTTGAAGAGGAAGGAAAATAACATGAAACCAAAGACCCGACTCCTAATTCCAGCTGCCTCCTCCACTCCCCCGCTCCCACTTGACCTTGCATAAGGCACCTGGCTTCTTTGGCCTCGGCTTCCCAATCTTTAAGACGGGGTGACATGGTGCCCGCCTCACGGGGGAGCTGTGGGGACCCAAGAAACAGTGGCTTTGCCTCCACCTTGCCTTCCCTCCCCTGGAATCACCTGAGAGAGGAGAGGTGAGGTGACAAGTGAGGCGACAGGGCACTAATCTCAGGGCTTTGCTGGAAAACACATGGGTGAATGTTTTATCTTAATTTTTTAATTTTTTTTTTTTTTAATTTTGAAAGAGAGAGAGAGAGAGAGAGAGAGA